AAAAAAAACCCCACATTTTCTTCCCTAGGGCAATATGTAGGACAATCTCTTCAGAGGCAGAAACTACATTTCCAAGAATCTTCTTTTTTGTAAAATTTCAGGTTGGAATATATTGATAAGATGTACTGGTTCAAAATTTAGAAAGCAGAGCTGGGCATGGTAATGTAAACCTGTAATTCTAGCAGCTGGAATGGCTGAGGCAGGAGGATTGCAAGTTTGAGGTCAGCCTCATCAATTCAGCAAGGCCCTAAGCAACAGAGAGAGACCCTGTTTCAAAATAAAATTATTTAAAAAATAAATAAATAAATAAGGAGGGCCGGGATGTGGCTCTGTTTTTAAGCACCCTGGGTTCAATCCCGGTACCAAAAAAAGATTTAGAAGACAGAAGAGGAGGATATCATTCTTTTCCAGATTGAGTTTCAGGAGGATACATGGGCAGATGGAGGTTAAAATCTGCTTCTCAATGAATTTCTTGAGAAGCTCCTACAACTGTGTTGCCAACTGAGACGGTGAAGGTGTGGACCATAAAGGCAATGAACTTCAGGGCTTCTGTCTTGCATGAATCCTATCTGAGACTCTGAGAGTAACCCTAGCAATTTTGTTCTTATAATTTACCTTATTATTATTATATTTTAGGAGGGCTCTCTAAAGAAGTCTCTCCAAATTGCATTTACTTTAAATGACATTAAACCTGGATCTAACCCTTAGTGCTTGAGAGCTTATGATTCCAGTGGCTGCAGGAGAAATTATGAGAACCACTGGGACTACAGTTTGAGATCTTCAGTGAAGTGTCTCTGGTTTTCCCTCCTTCTGCCCTTCCAACAGTTGTACAAGCTCTTACCTCCTTCATACTAGGAATAGAGTGGCTTTTGTTTTCATGACCAAATTAGTCATTGCTTAAAAATGATTGCTGTCATCAATTAGATGATTCTTCTTTTTCTTCTTCTTCTTCTTCTTCTGTTCAGTTAATCTCAAATTTAAGAAATAATTATATTTTCTTATAATACAAAGGATAGTGAGAAAATTTTAACATCATATGGAAACAAACAAAAACAATCTTAGAGTATGCTCCATTTTATTCAAAGTTGGATCCTCATAACAGTACTTGGGCACTCCGTGTGTGCTTAGTAAATATGGGAGTGAGCGCATGAGTTAATAAGTGAGGGAAGGAATAGATGTAATTATGTCCATCTGTACCCAAGTTGCTTCCTAGTTATGATTATTAAAACAACATAGATCTTGTTAGTTCTCATTAATTCTCTCTAGATTTATTTAGCAAGGTACCAAGAACTCCCAGCTGCTTTTTTTGGATGAAAATGATGACTAGTTTCGGGAGCCATTCCAGCACAAATTCTAGGAAATCTCACAGTGCAACTGTAATTACTTTAGGGTCTTCCAGAGGTTGGAGACACACCTGTTAATTATGAATTATTTTCCAAGAGTGAATACATTAAAAAAAATAAATTTGATGATTCGTTCAGTTTGAAGAGTTCACTTCTTACCTTTAGTTTTGTAAGAGGAATTGAACCTGGGGCGCTTTACCACTGAACTACATCCCTAGTCCTTTTAATTTTTTTTTTTTTTATACAGAGTCTTGCTAAGTTGCTGAAGCTGTTCTTGAATTTGCTATCCTCCTGCCTCAGTATCCTCAATTGCTGGGATTACAGGAGGGCACCACTGGATTTGGCTCTCATTTTCTTTTCCCCTTGTAATTCAATTCTGAATGACATACAGAAGGAAAACCTTTTTTTTTTTTTTTATAAAAAATGTCAATGACCTGAGGGCTGGGGATATGGATATAGTTCAGTTGGTAGCTTGTCTCTCATGTACAAGGTCCTGGGTTCAATCTACAGCACTGCCAAAAATAAATAAATAAATAAAACCCCAAAGTTCTATATTTTGTTATTTTTTTCTAATAATTTATTTTCTTTAATATGTATTTGTCATGGCTGGAATAACAAAGTAAGAATGCAGGACACTTTCATATTGATAATGAATATGAAGATAAGTAAATAAGTTTAGGAGAATTGGTTACTCTCCCCCACAACATGGGGATAAACCCAGGATCTTGCAAATGCTAGACAAGTTCTCTACCATTGACCTACATATCCAGTTCATTGTTAGTTTTCATTTTGCAAACATTAAACTATATTTAAGCTACATTCTAAGTACTGGGCTAACTAGTGGAGACACAAATATGAACTATACCTATCCTCCTGATGTGGGGCAGACAGCCATATAACTGATGAATTCCAGGGGAAAAAAAGGGGGGGCGTGGTTCGAGGGAACTGAGAGTTTAGAAGAGGAGAGTTTGTTGGACCAGACTCGGGAGTAACATATGATAATCTCATCTACTTGTCATAACCCTTTAAGAACCTCTCATAAAGAAGGAAGCTGACCATGAGACCTTGAATACCTTATATAATTTCCTTAATAAAGAGCTGAGCCAGAACTAATGGGGGCTCTGCCTGAACCCTAGAAGCCAAATAGTCTCGTATTCCAGGTCACAGTCTCTTCTGGCCATGTGTTTAGCATCATTCAGCTCATTCTTTAGAGGCCACGTGGGCTCTTCAAACTGGGAATAATGTTTATTGGGTGATCTGTTTCTTTGTACCTCTCATCCTACAGGCTAAGAAAGCTCAGTTACTTAAGCTTTCACCAGCTCGCTGAAGCAATCAGAGCAGAAAGCAGGATGTGGATCTATTAAACTTTTTTCAAGTACATTAATAAGTACATATTAACAACCCTATACCTGTGGCCTTTGAATTAGTATAAAAACCGAAGAATTTGCATTAATTCTCTGAGGTCTGGACCTCAATTTTACCACCTGTGGGCTATGGATTAAATTATATGCAAATTACCTTTCAACATCTAAGTGCCAAACAGTCTTAAGATTTTATTGTTCCAGTTCTTAACTGCTGTAGCAAGAATAATTTCAAGTGTTTGATAAATATTGGATGAGTACATGTAAAGGGTTTAAAAAACGTGTGGTTTGAGTGAAGCGCAGCGTAATTTGGATGCCCTATTTTATCTCTCTTAAAGGTCAATTTCAGGTGTAAAATGTCCTGGGGGAGGATAGACTCTTTGCCCTGCTCCGACAAAGGCACAGCAGCGCGGGTTCCGCTGGAAACCCCAAATTACAATTCAAACTTCACATTCACCCTTGCTTTTCTTTACTCTCCAACCCCGCCGCCGCTCTCCAGCTCCAGGCGGATTGGTGAGTTGGAAAGTGCACCAGGCGCCTTTAAATGCTAATGAGAAGAGATGCCCAATTCTGGAGCCAAGTTTCCCCACCCTCTTCCCTCCCCGCCCTTCCCTCGCTGGCCGGTGCGCCGCCTAGAAAAACTTGTGCGGGGCCATTTTTGGGGCAG